AAAAGATTTTAATTAGATATTTGTAGAAACTTAAGAAGATAACCACACCTTCATTTTATTGTCCAGTCTTACATATCTTACAAACAAGTAACATGCCAAATGTACGCTCAGCAGTTCACATTTTATTCTGTTAGCTAAAAATTAGAGTGAAATATTATGAAACTTGATGGAAAGGACATTCGTGTTTAATTGGAAGTTTTTTTTATAAATTGATTCAATTTTTGAGTGAATTCAAGAGCATTTTTATTTTACAATTTATAATACATGCACAACTCACTTAAAAATTGAACTATCGYCAAAAWAGACTATTCAACAAAATAAAAATTATGTTCTAACCATCAAGTTTCGTGATAGGTCTATCCACACTAATTTTTTAGGTAACGGAATAAGATGTGAATTGCAGAGCGTAAATTGAATAGATTACATTTTTGTAAGACTATGACAACAAAAATGAGGGTGTGGCATCATCTTCACGTATAATGAGTTACATACTTGAAATGTAACACTTTAGTTTCTTTTAAATTAAAATCTCCTTTTAAAGCTCTATGATCTATTTGATCATTTAAATCAATACATTTGGCTTCCAATTGTTTACATTTATTAATAAGTTCTTCTTTTTCTTTTAAAAGTAAATTTTTTTCATCTATCCAACGTTTATTATTATCAATAGGCACATATATAGATGGATCTGTTTCAATTTGATTCATGCGCAATTTGTAACCATTAATTGCTTTTTCTAATACTTCAATTCTAGAATCTTCACCATTTATATTGCCTATGACAGTTACTTCTTTTTGAAATGAATCTAAAAGTTCTCTTAAATCATTACGTTCCTAAAATATAGATTAATTAATTAAATATTTATGACAATTATTGTTTATACCATTGATACAAACCCATGTAATAATGTAGTTTTGTTTCTTTAATCGTTTAATGGTTAATTCATTTTTGTTATTATTGTTTGTTGCAATACTTATTTGTTCTTTTGCTTTAAGCAATTCAACTTCCATCTGTTTCAGTTTTAATTCCAATCGAGCAATACTAAAAATTATACATGGACAAACATTGTAAGAAAATAAATAGTTCTTTCTTWAAAGTAAAATGCAATAATAACATAAGTTAGTCATTTAAAAATGTTTTACGTGGTTTGCAATTCTCCCTTCTCGTTAACTAAACATAAATCTTTTTTCTTTAGATTGTCAACATAGTAACGCAAATATTCTGGATAACACTGAGCTTCTGTAACATTTTCACAGACTTCTCGGCAAACATCTATCCATGTTTTCAAACGATCTTCACTAACTGCTAGGTTTGATCTCAATTGCATTGCTTCTTTTTCAATCAACTCATGTTTGTTTAATTTACTTTCGAGAGTAGCAACTGTATTTTCTAAAATTTCTGTTTGCTTTACATCATTTCTAAAAACATTAAAATATTATTTTTGAATTTTTTATTATCTGATTGAATCACAATAAATTGTAGAAAATCTTCACCTATAAATAGCTACTTCTTCTCTTAATGAAATGAGTTCATTTTCCATGGAATTAAACCGTTTCAATTTGTCTCGTTGGGCATTTACTACCATAGCACTTTCTTGTAAAGAAGCTAATTCATTTTCCAAACACTAAAAATAAAGTGAATTAGTCTATATATATATTTTTTTTAATGGCTAACTAAAAGAACCTAATAAGTTCCTGGTCACAAATATAGTCACAAAAAATCTAACTAAAATATGAACACATACAAACAATTTAAGAATAACCTACACTATCTAAATTATTTATACTTAATTTTAAAATATAAACAAATAAATATTTGTTATTACTTTAATTTTTTGGTTAGCAGTATTCAGTTTGACTTGATCGTTTTCCAATGTATTAATTTCAATTTGTTTTTTTCTTAAATTACTGGTTAATTCTTCAATATACTTTTCATTTGACCTTAGAGTTTTTTTTAGTTCATTTAATTCATAATCAGTACAATTTCTTGATACGCTTTCATTTTGATATTTTGTAAGCTCTAAAGTCACCTATAAATATTGTTTTTAAAAATTACAAAATAAACATTATTAACATTTCATTTCACAATTATATACTATTACTTTTAAATTATAGACATACCTATCACCTATATTATCTAGTTTAATACAGGATTTAAGGACTTGAAATATTTATTTCTTACAAAATTAATTTTTTAATTTATAAAATATTTAAGTATTTTTGGATCAGTTGACTATAGATCATAAAGTATCAAACAGTAACATGGCAAACTATTTTTATGTAGGGGTAGAAAATTGTTTTTTCAAACAATATCTACCTATACCAACCGAAATTAACTTTTACTAACAAGCAGTTAATTATTATATTATCAAATTAAAAGAATCCAATCCTGCAATTTCACTACCAACTTTATTCATAATACTTTCACAAACTGGGATCAGGTAGATAGGATCGTCATTTTTAAAAGGTTAAAGGCCATGATACTTAAAAATTATTTCAACACTCTTAGAAAAATAAGCTGATAATAAGGTACATGACATGTTATGGTATCATTCAATACTGCTAAAAACCAGTTTGCGTGATTCATAGCAAGTGTTTATGTATACTAGTGAATTCTGAATTGTAATAATGCATACTATACCTAAATTACTAATTAATAACAATACTAAACAGTATTGTGCTACTATAATTTCCAATAAAAATGAAAAAATTTCAAATCTAATTTTAAACAAGGCCTACTTCTTAATATTATAATTTAAAATCAAATAAATGTGATTATAAAAAAATCAAGAATCTCAGTGTGGTTAGTTAAATTTCTACCAACAAAATAAAAATATAAAAAAAAATTGGAAAAATAGTTAGATATTTACACTGTTTAGTTTATCTTCGAGTTCCTTTTTTTCTTTTTCCAGATTTGATGTATAATGTCGGTTTTCTTCCATTACAGACTCAAGTTTTTTCATTAAACTATCATTTTCTTCTTTTAAATTAGATTTTTCATATCGGATTTCCTTAAGCCTGTTATCTAACTGATCAATCTAAAATCATTAAAACAAAATGATCAAGTATATAAATAAATATTATCTTAAAAATACTCCAAACCATTAATTTTGATTTATTGATGTTGTGTTCTAAAGCAGATTTTTCTTTTTCAAATAAGATATCAGATTCTTTTTTAAGGTTGAAAAGAGTCTTATTTCTTTCTTGAAGTGAAGCAATTTCTGCACGAGCATTAATCAAATCTTGTTTTATGCGACGAGATTCCCACGGTGATGTCACTGGCGCTGAGAATAAAATATTTTTATTAATTACAGTATAAGATATTAT